TGTAGTGAACCATAGTAAAGAAATTCTTAAAAATGCTAAACTTATTTTTCGTACGTTTAAGAACAGAAATGAAAATTTTCTTATCAAAAAGAAAGCGTTCGTTCAACCTCTTTGACTACAGTATGACATGTTACTCTACGAGATACCGCAAATCAAGTAAAATAATTGAAGGACTCTGTTTTATACGTCGCTCTTCTCTTAATAGCAATTTTAATCGTAAAACTTCATCAATATAACCTGATTCTCTCTCACTTCATCGATTATGTAAGTAATAATACATTCATTCATTTCGAATTGTACTATTTTTTTAATATGTTAATTTTTGTCACATTTTCTTTTTTTTTATTATTAATTTTCATTATAAGCATATGTTTCAATAAATAAATGAATAAATATCATGAAAATTTTTCATAAAAAGGATTTTCGAATATAATTTTTTCTAAGGAATTTGAAATGATAGATTCATATTGTATATGAAAAATAAAATTTTTTTTTTATCTGATGACTATTTTTATTAATAATATTTGTTTATTTAATAGATAAATTTCGTATTATTTCAAACATTTTTTGGTGATTAAACGGAAAATGCAAAAATATTAAAAAACCGAATAAAAAAGTATTGAAAATATTCTTATTGTGTAATTTCGGCTTTTCCTCAAAACATGATGGCATTTCACCAGCGAATCACTTGGGAATGATTTAATCTTAGGCTCATTATTTTCTCTTAATGATTTCCAAATATATCATTCATCAAGAAATTCGAAATTGATGGAAATAATTGGTGATAATGATGACTGATGATAATAATGGGAGATAATGATAATGCTAATAATATTTCAGTTGCAATTTGCAAATTTTTATTTTTTTTCTTTTGTTTATATTATTCCTGTGTATTATGTTCAGCTGAAAAGAAAATTTTTTTGATTTACATTCGGTAAGTTTCGTGAAAAAAAATAAAGCGATTTCAAAAATATATTAAATACTAAATAATATATAATTATCACCATTATATTTCCACTTTTAATTCTATCAGAACCTTTACTCTTTTCAAATGTAAAGGCTTTATCGACTGAATTTCGAAAGATAAAAACTAAATAATTATAATAACTATAGATTTCTTCTAAAATTATGCTGTTCTCACGCGGTTCTCTTAAACTTGCTGGAGAATCAATAAATCGTCAATAGAAGATGTATAGATCTTTAGTTCCACGTAGATAATATTCCCATATTAAATGCATAGGCCGAAAACCTCTTAATTTGCATTATAAGAAAATTATGCATTCATTGTTTTGTTTCGCAGAACCATCGATTATTTAAGTACATTTCGTTAGTTTTTTGAAAATTTTCACTCTTCCAGTCAGTTTAGAAACAAAATTGGTGAAAAAATTCAAAAGCATCAATTTTTTCTGAAAAATTTTCGAGTAAGTTGGTACTTGGAAAAGTTTTAACAATAAATGTGATATGTGATGTGAAAATTATTTAGCTTATTTCAGATAGTATTTATTATTGACAGTGACTATCGAAAGTGAAACTAGAAGTGGAAGGAAAACTAGATAAGTGTAAATCGTGTATAACAGAAACTCATTAAAGCATTCGAAAAAGTTTTTAAAAACAAGATCGTTTATTCATTAGCAAGTTCCTTAGCATTAAAACTGGACTCGAAAGAAATGCATTTCTGGCTTTTCGATTGAGAACTCATGCTAGCGCGCAAAATAAATTTATTGCACAACTTGCAATATATTTTATATTGATATTTTTAATCTAAAAAATTTGGGGAAAATTATCGCAAGAAAAAATGATGAATTTTTAATAAAAATATGTTAAAATCTTAAATAAGGAAAATGCTGCCATGGTATAAGTAAATTTATATTATGAAATGATCTTGTCGTTATATAAGACATACTTTTACTTTCTAGCGGGTTCTAAAATTTTTATAGAATATTCTGGATTTTATTTATGTGAAAACCGAGCTCCGTATTATTGAAGAAACTTGAAAAATGAATAAATTTTAAATTTTACTGCATTTATTTAAATACATTTATTGAAAATTATCATTTAACAAATTATTTCTTATGTATTTTTAAAAATTTTAATCTTTTTGTCAATATTGAATTATCAGTATTTAATATCAATGTCCGACCTGTATCGATCTCATTTTATTTCGTTAATAGAAATTTCTCACCAGAATTATTATTGTTGAAATAAAATAATCATAAAATTAGAGAATGCATTAAAAAAATAACTTATTCCTCGACAATCAGATGGTAAAAATTGTCGTTTTTCAAGTTTTAGCTGATTGCCCATTGATGAAATAAATACAAACGGCTTTCTACAGCGCAGACTACTTAAGAAAGTGATTACCATATACTATTTTTCCATGTGATAACTGAACTCGATATGGTAGTTTTTTAAAAGAACCAATTTTATAATTAATTTTTCCAGTTATAATTAATAAAATAATTAATAATTATGATAATATAATTTTTTATTGCACCAACTGTAATGTATTCACAATAAAAGCATTTCATAAATTTAATTTTCATCGAAATATTAAAGTATTAATATAGAGTAAATCAATAAATGGTTAGTTTCTCCATTTCTGATTTTCTTTTTTTATGCTAATTTCATTGCTTATTAAGGTTCAAAATTTTTGCCATGGAATTACTTGGCGATAGAAGTGCATGTGGTTCACCAGCACCAGCCGGACTTTTAATGACAGCTTAGAAAAAGATCACGATCAATCGAGGGCAGAATTCGAATCCTCAACAGGAACCACTATCTACTTGGCTAACGTTCTTCCACTTATATATAATGAAATCAAATAAACTGAGTTCAAAAATTTCAGCAAAAAATTTAAAGCAAAAATTTCTTACTAAAGGTGGGATGGCAAATTGCGTTGTTGTTCTCACTGGAACGTCGGGGCTAAAAACTAAAAGTTTTCTGGTGCAACCAGCTAGTGGAACGAGTCTAACCAGAAATGATGAGTTTTTTTTCAGAAAAAAAAATTTCAGAACTAAAAATTAAATCATTTCTATTTTAAACTTTAGTTAGCCGTTTCATTTTTTTCTAAAAAATTCTTTTCATTGACATCAAAAGATCTATCGTGACACGGGCCAACTATGCGTATTTTCCTTTCGAACCACCAATTGATTCCCTAAACTAATCAAAAGAGCGCTAACCACTTTTTATTAGAAATTATTAATAAATTAATAATTACTAAAATTAATTCTTTTTTAATTGATTAAAATTCAAGAATTAGGAAATTTAGAAAAAAATTCAAAAAAAACCATTTTAAACTACTCTGCCTGCATCCTTTTCGGAAAATTCAAAAATTTACAATAGAATGGACTCGGACAGAAATGCAGCCAACTTTGATCTTTGGGAGATATTACCAGAGAAAATTTACTATAAATTTAAAATTCATACTACTTAAGAAGCCTGTTGATAAATTTTTAACGAAGAATTCTCTAAATTTTGCTATAATTAATCAATTATTTGTAAGCCAGAAATTTAAGAGATATACTTTCTGATTGATTTGCGATGTTCTTATGTTCACATAAGTTCCTATTAGAAGAAAAAATAATGCTTCCTTCTTTTTTAAAGAAAGGGTATCATCCTAAAAGACAGTTACAAAAAAGTGATGTAGATATATGAAATTTTTACTTTAAAATTACTTTCATTAAATAATTCATTTTAATTAGTCTTAAATTTATAAAAATTCAACACAAAATTTTCAAGCCATTTAATGGCATCAGTGGTTAAAAAATTTGAACGCAGGCAGTTTGGCAGTTTTAATTGATATTTCTTATCTTGCATTAGAAGTGAGGAGAAAAGTCGCTGCCATCCACTTTTATAAAAAATTTTATTCTTAAAACTCGATTGTTATGAAAATTTAATTTAATTTATTTCAACAACCACCAACCACTTTCTTGATGCTAAAATAACTGTAATTATAAATATACTTATAAATAAATTTTGATTAATATTTTTTAAATTAATTAAATTAATAAAGGATTAATAAAGGACGGGACAACTGGATGAAGAGTGGTTTAGATAAGGTAGTATTGCAAGTTCAGCAACCTTGATAAAATCCTGATGGTGCTGGTGACTTCGGTATACTCGCCAGCACTTCCACTGCTAATTCCTTATTACATTACCATTACCATTGTATGCAAAATTATTTTGTTATAAGGACGTACTCTAAGAAATTTACCTTGTAATGATAAAAATTTGTGCAATCTAATAAAATATTGTGAACTAAAATTTTCCATTTTCCATTTTTATATTCATTGGCTAAATTCCCTTATGTTTTGCCAGTAAAAAAGTAAAAAATAATCGAATCGAATTATAGATTTCAATTCAATTTTTGCTGTACTTTCGAAATCTATTCATTTATTGAGCCGAATTTCTCAAAAAATTATTTTCGGCTTCTTTCTGTTTTATAAACCAAAAATTCCTGATTATCGGCATTCAAGCTGATAATTTTGTTTTTGTCATGTAACATCCATCTGTGTTTAATCGGCTCATTTTTATTGTATCATTTTTCTTCGACATATTTTAATTCAAAATATTAGACAATAATAATTTATATTTTCCACACTTTTGATTACTGAGTTCATTGGCAGTTCTTTCATATAGAAAATTAAATTTGTTTTATATTCCCTACCATTATTATTATTGTTTTATTATTATTATCATTAATCATTATTTATTATTATTACATTATTACTGTTATTATTGTAAAGATTTGATGACTCATTCAATTCATATCTCTAATTTCTTGTATTTGCATTAATGGCATTAATGAAATATAAGGATTTTTTCAAGAATGACGATAGCTTATTCAATGAATTGTTAAGCCAACCTTCGAGAAAGTCAGCTGAAAGTAAGAAAATGAAATCTGTTTAAAAAAATTTCCATTCCATTGCTCGATATGTTTCATCCATATATTCGGAATACTATAACCAAATAAGAAGAAAAAACCTTCCATAAGATGCCAAATGCGATTCTATTATTCTTTTCAGAAATTAGGGACAATTCTAATGAAATTTTTAATTTATCTACTGATTTTCTTTGGCGAAGCTTTATTTTGGCCTGATGGTGCACCATGTAAATATTCAACGATGAAGTCGATGAATCCTTTAGAAGCAGTGGAACATGAAGGTGGATTACAAGTAATACTTTTTACAATCAGCAGAATTTGTGATCATTTGAGAAAACTTCGTAATTTGCAGTTATGTGTGTAATATACCAATAAGTAAATACATATATTCTGTTAATACAATAAGTAAAAATAAATAAATAAATAAAAATAAATGTAAATAAGAATGAGAACAGAAATTACAATTCGCAAGATCCATTCTAATTTTAACTCGTCTATCTCTGCGCCTAGTGAGATTTGGAATAAACGAGTCAAAAATACTTGTCATTTCCGTTCTTTTTCTCACTTTTAATTTTGAATATTTTCGCTAAAAATTTTTTTGCAGCTTTCAAACCCTCCATATGCTATTGATGTGGTTCATAAATGCTATTGGAAAAATCAGCCAATATTTTGTAATTTTTTGATTTACTAATTTTCGTTCCTTTTTATTCAACATTAATCTACTGCTAAAAAAATAAAAATTTTGCTGATTTTCTATAGCCACTCTATTTCTAAAAAATAGGTCTGAATATCCTGATCTGCCAAAAATTATCCTCCATTGATCATTCTACTGAGACCATTGTAAAATTATTTTGGTTTTAAATTGATAGTAATTTATGGAACAATCTAAAGAAAAACCTATTAAAAAAAAAAGAAAAAGTTTTTAAAAACTTTTTAAGTAATTTTTAATTAATTCTTAAAAAGTTTTTTAATTTTTAAGTTTTTTTAATTTTTAAAAAGTTTAAGTAATTTTTAAGAATTTGAATGTTACAGCAAGAGAAAGCAGTAGTCTTAGTTAACTTCTGAATATTTCGACAAGTTGATTTTCGAGATCATTTCTTTAAAATAATTTTCTCTGCATTATAAATTAAAGTAATTTTAAAGTAAAATTACCCTGAGCTTTATTCTAAGTCACTTGCACTATACATCCTTGGAGATTCCTAAGACTTTTCACTTATCTTTTTATTTCATATCATTTTCCATCGTATCATTTCCCACTTCATGTATTTCAGTGAAATTACGCGGTACGTCGAGAAATTTCATTTTTAAAGGATTTGTCATACAAGCATTTATTTTCCGTGAAAGAAAAAAGGAAAAAAGGTATATTACATTACTTCTAAAAAAACCCTCAAAAAGACTAACTTTTAAGAAAAAAACCCTCAAAAAGACTAACTTTTTAAGAAAAAAAACCAAAATAAATTGAACTTACTCGATTTTCCTGAGGATGAAACAGGGATTTCGTTGATATTTTCGTAATTTATATGAAAGTTATGCATGAAAGTTTTTGAATTTAAGTTTTGAGAAGATATATATAGTAAAGCATTTGGTGCAATCTTTAAAATTCTTAAAAGATCACCGCTACAGCCTTTATTTTATTAATTTTAATAATCAGAATTCGATAAAAATAACTTTTTCTTTTCATTTTTTTTTCAAATGGAAAAAAATAGAAATCTGATATTTGCTTGAAATCAAATTCGTTATTGTAAATATGTTGCATATTAAGTGATTAGCATTTCTAATTATACTCTAACTATTAATATGATTAGAAATTCTTGTTTAAGAATTGATGATAGAAGTATAGGTGGGTCGGCAGCATTACTCGTTTATTATAAAACTCCATCATAAAAAAATCGCATTTTTTTGAATTTTTCAAATTTCGACGGAAAATTCACTTGGTTAGTAGATTTTTTATATTTCGTGACAAATATAAATTTTCATGAATAAATTATTCATTCATTCCTGCAGAGCTGGAAAGTTTGTTCGATTAGATAACAATGGTTCATGGAGACATCAGTGCTATCGATTTCATGATTCTGTAACAAATGCGCATGATGAGAAGAAAAATGAAATAAATTTGTGGTGGAAAAATGATAAAGACGATGATAAAGTAGTACAGTTCGTGTAAGCGATTTTTGCTTCTTTAATTCCCATTTTGATTTTGTTGAATTATGGTGTCTTTTAAGAATGTACGCTGAAATATCCAATTCTCGAAGTTTCGAAAACTTGAACCATTCATTTGAAATCATTGTTCGATTTATCAAAGATTACCAAAAATAATTCGATATTAACGAAAAAAATGGCTAATAGTTGTCGAACACCAGCGTAACAATATATATATATATATATATATATATATCAAGAACCATCGACAAATTTATATTTTCAGTGCGACAGTTGTGAAATCACGAAAAGAATTTTGGGTTCAAAGTATACTCTCAAGGCCTGTAGCACCTTGTCGAATGCAACGAGAGTTTAATAATTATGAATCAGAACGTATTACTGCACCGCCGAAAATAATTCCATTTGCATTAGCAAATAAATTTTGATATTGCATAAATTGTTTTAGCAAATTTGTTTAGATTTCTGAAAATTAAAAAAAATTGAATTTATTTCTCCAAATTTGATCGTAATTTAAAAATTTTTGATTGTTATCATGCAACTTTTACCATCTTTGATATTTTGCTAACATTTTGCATTCTATATAAGTCGAATGAATGGCTCAAATTATTGTATTGAGAGTTAAGAATTCGGCATCTGCCACTGACAGGTGGTTCTATCGCCACATGGCTTTCTGGAAAAACTTCAATATCGATGATGAAGTGAGCAAAGTGAGCTCGAATTATTTGGCGTTTTGGCCATCAAAAAACTAATTCATAAATTTTCAAATAAATTGCGAACACGTTGAAATATAAATCAATTAGTAACGAATAGAATGATTTATCGAAATGATAATGAAAAATACCGGTTGCTAGTTTTTTTTCGTTTTTTTCTTTTTTTGTTTTTATTGTATATTGCAATGAAGAATATACGAGCAAAATATACATCAATATGCAATCAACTAATTGCTCAAGAATTTTTTTTTTTTCTTCTTTCTTATTTAGATCAAAATAACTGATAACAAGGACTGATTTGATATTTTTTGGTACCTTTTTGGTACCAGTACTTCAAAACATTTGCCTTAAAATGATTAAGTTCACTAAAATCTTTATTCGATTCTCATTCTTAATAACTATTCATAATTTCGAATTTGATTAGCTCTATTAATTGACTACGGGAATGAATGCGATAAATCCGACAGAAAGTCATTTGAAGAAAAAGTACTGGTGCGACTCAAATATCATCCGGCATATTTAATATTTAATTATAATTCATTCATTTCTATCCAATAATCGATCCAGACTGTTAACTGATCTTTTTTTGGATATTAACAAGGAAGCTTGTCAATTTTTTCGACTGCACTGCTAAAATGGAATTATTGCATTAATTTAACATTTTCGAAACCTTCTAAAAAGAGATTTTTCATATTCACTGCATCGAAACCTTTTTCTAATACCATTTCTAGTTTGGCTGGTTCTATTGGAATTTACAAATGGTACCTATAATGTTTGATTTCAGTTAAAGAAATATATTACAATTTTCCACCGTTAAGAGACAAATCCTCTGCATCGAAATCATGTTCGTCCGATTGAAAAAAAAAGGAATTGTTGATCAATCACCACTCATGGGTATTCAGTTATTCGATTTCTCACTTTTCAATTAGCGTCGAGATGAAAGAAAATCTCTCCTTAAAATATTCTAGGCTTTTCTGATAATAATGAGACTTAATTATATATGTTTATTTATACGTTTGCAACGATTTCATGAATATTCCGATTGAATGAAGGAAAATTTAATTCACATTTACCATTTCTGAGCCTTATTCAGAAGAAATTCAGGTATATATATATATATATATCCTGTACAAAAATCCGGGTGATGCTGACGACTCAACCGTACTTCTATCGCCAAGGGACTCCCATATATATATATAATATGTTGCAATAAATATAAATTTTAAATACTGAAATTTTGCAAATGTTCATATTATATATTATATTATAAATATTGTGCAAAAAATATGAAGTAATTATTACAATATTGAATATAAATGTGCAACAACACTTAAAAGTGAGCAATGGGACAGTGGCCGAGTGAAGGTGATTTACGGTTCAGTAACCAAGTAGCAAGATTTGAAATGAAAAAGTGGGAAATGGGCTGCCGAGTGCCTTAGGAATCTCTCATAAATTTGCTATTGGGGTGAACTAGTTTCATAGGATTTGTTAATTGTCATTTTATGATCTTTTCAGTCTTCATGTTTTAGTTTTTATATTTAATAAATGGTTTAATTACACAAGTCTGAGGGTCGGGTCCAAGTGAGGTAAAGAGAATGCTGGCCGGAGAATATATAGTGATTTTATCAGTCAAAAAATACCGGGTGGTAGGAAATTTAAAAATCTATACAGACATGGAATGCATTCCTGGAGAAACTTTAAGGAAAATATATATTGGAAATAGGAATCGCCGATCTCCAACTAAGTTTTCTGTACAAAGTCGGTATATTACTAGTCCATCTACGCTTTCAAATCTTTCCAATCTGACTATATCAGTCTTGATCATGATTAGCCCACTTTCCTTTTGACTCCACTCATCACAGGGTTTAATAATAGAATATGTCTCAATTCCTATGAAGGCGATTTGTGATGGTGGTATTGCAAGTGATATTTGAAAATGTTTGCGATCGTGTGAGATTTTATCCACTCGGCGAATTCATAAAATTCATCTTGGACATGAGTGGTTAAACGCAGATAGCTTAATGTCCTCCACTCTCATTGGACATATCTCGTAGCTATATAACAAGATCGAGCTAAATAGATTGTAGCTTAATAAATATGGATTTTCATTTTGATAATGATTTCGCGATGGCTCCATAAAGGTTTCGCCAACTAGAAGAACGTACTGTTATCCAGGTTGCAATTTCATTTTTTGCCTACTGGAACTGGAACGGATCCGCGATATTTAAAATCTGGCATTTCCTTAACTTATAATAAATTTTTAAAAATTAAGATGAAAAGGCTTTCATTTTATTTTCATCTGAGTCAGTTGCACTTTTTGACATATTGTTTAGCACTATTTTGCATTTCATAACTGCAAAGAGAAACACATCAATGTATACAAGATCTGTGCTCTGGACTGATTTTGTCGCGGAATGCGTTGCTTCTATTATTTTAAATTTATTATTTCAAACCAGTGATCCCGACAACACGCCAATGAAAATCGATTGCTTAATCGATTCTCTGGTTATTGCACTTTATATGTAAATAAAATAAAGGACAATTTACAGTATATGTTGTAAATACTTATAAAAATCTTTCTTCTGCACTTTAAGGCGCCATATCGTTCTTATGCAGGCATCAAGCGGTTGGGTCCCAATATTAAAAGATTCATTCGTTTAATGTGTCCTTTGCCCCTTTATTCTTTTCCTTTGTTTTTCCCTTTTAATCTATTGGTTTAATACCCAATTACCCAAGTTTGAGGTAACGAATAAAGATTTTTATTAATACGTGTGGTGATCAGCGTTTATTCTACTGTACTGAGAAAGCAAGGTTATCTATTATAATTCAAGCGTGGCAGGCGAGCATCATCCCACTAATCCCTTCCAATTAGTATTAGTATTATCAACAGCTCTATTGGCCATTGATATGCTTAGAAATTTAAATTTAAATTGAAATTTAAATACACTAGAAAAATATTTATTACACTTGCAACGTCGGAGATGATTGTCATTATGTTGCTGAATTACTTGTTTTCGCGAATATTTCGCAAATTTTTCTAAAGAATTCTAAATCTTTTTTCAAAGAAAAAATAGCTATTGGCCTTAAAAGTTGCTCTTTATTCTTAAATTAGCACTGCGGAAATTTTTAAAGCGTTCTTTATTTGCAGAGAGACCACATGACAATTTGGTTAATTTATATTTTTTTTAAAGAGCACTCGCCATTTCTAGGACTCACTGGTTTATCACAGAGAAATATGCAATCCCTTGGCGATAGAAAAAACACAAGTAAGTCGGCAGCATCACCCATTCTGGACGGGTTTAGTCCTGCAAGGGACTTAACATCAGCGCATCAGGTTGTGTAAGCCCACTGAGCCATTTTACTCTCTTTTCTTTCTTCGTAAGACGACACAGCGAAACCAAAAGGCTTCATGCGTCGAACAGAAGCCTCGACCCTTGCTTGCCACTGAGCCACCAATGAATAATAAGAATAAATTAATAATTTCTTAATTATAACTATGATAGTTTCTGGTCCTGAGAAAAGGTATATAATGGTCCATTTATAAATGTATATAACTGTGATTACTAGGAAACAAAAAAATTCTATGAAATTTACGCTAAGGAAATAAAAGAGGTATAACGTCTGATATGTTGTGCTAAAGAGAAACGAATATAATTATCAGTGAATGCATAATTCAATGAATGAATTATGACTGGCAATAGCCAAGTTAAATTCGCAATTTTCAGCCAGTAGAACCATGCAATGACAATAAGCGTTTCATTGATGCAAAAAAAATTATTTGGAATGTCAAGTAATAATATCATAATATTTTAAACTTTTAGCATTATATAAAGAGAGAAATAATTTCGTATGCTATTAAATCTACTTGGACGAATATCCTAGGCTACTGTCAAGCCAGAAGAAGCTATTAATAACGATCTTAGCAACTGCGTTAATTTGCTCAGCCATCAGCTTATCGGCAGCAACACCTTCACCTTCCAGTAGGTTTTTCTGGCATATTTTTGCCAGCTAAACATGGCTCCTCCCTTTTTTCGAAATATTCTTCAATGGCTTCCATCAATTGTTCCCTCAAGGTCTTCGAAGCAATGGTGGGAAGAATTATCTCATTAAAGTCGATGTTAAATTTTTATATCTTTCTTAAATCACCCATAGATCTTAATACGGATCATATTAGATGCGAAATTAGTTCTATCAGTAATGGAAGCCAGTTGTTTTTCATATTTGTTATTAATAGCTGCGATGTGACAAATTCTCTGTAATTTTTTATAAAGCATTTACATCCTCAGTTGACTTGGCATCATTATCTGCGACTTTTTTTTGAGTTATGTTAAACAAATATTCTTCTTAAACATTCTTTTTTTGGCCCGCTTAAAGGGAATAAAAACAAATACTTTTAAAAACAAGATTCCTTTTAGAGATTCAATTATAATTTGAATAATAAAGTATTTCTCTCAGAAAAATACGACATGAACAACAAATTTTTCGACAAACGAGAAGGAATGGTTGGCGTACCCCTCACGAGAATAATGCAATCTTAATAAAATTAAAATTTAAATTAAAATTTAGCATTAAATAATATGAATAACCATCACCAAAAGTATATTTGCTCGATTTTATTATCAAATGTCATCAATGACATCAGTTTGTGCACTTAATGAATAATAAATTATATAGAATTATCAAATTTGGCAAAATTGCATCTGATTGATGGCTAA